CGGCAGGGAACAGGGAATGTGGCCCACTTGGCTCCTGGTGCTGCCCGGCACACTGCAGTGGGGGCAGGAGGCACTTCTGTGTGTGCTACCTCCTGGCAGGCGTGGCCCGGGGACAGACCCCTGCAGCTGTGCATGGGGAGCCCCTCCGCCTGCCTGCGTGGGATCTGCAGCCCTCCTCCAGCTGGTTCAGGGGCCAGCAGGGGCCCTGGGGCTGTGCTTGGTGGCTTGGATGTGCAGAGGCCTGCTTGGGCCCTTGGTGTCCCCGTTGGGTATCCCGGCCACCTGATATCTGCAAGTCCCTTAACCTCACCCAGGCACCGTCTTGTTCTCCGCGGAGGTCTGATCCTGCTGACTCTGCATGGCTGAACACCTGCTGCTCCCCAGGCACCTCTCAGTATGCCACAGGCACAGGGTCCTCACAGTGGGCCTGTGGAGCAGGACTCCTGCAGCAAGCTGTATTCGCGACCTGCAGAGTCAGCCTCCCTCCTGAGTTTTCACTCACCTGCCCATTTCCCCTTCTCTGTCGCCGTTGCCCTGATCCCCCAGTGTCCCCTCTCTTGGACATTTGCTGGAGCCTTCCCAGGTCTCCCTGATCCACTCTTGCTCACCGCAGTGCCTGCTCGTAAAACACTCTGACCCTTTACTCTCCCCCTCAACCACCTTCTGTGGCTCCCCACTGCCCTGAGAACAAAATCCATCCTTACCCGGGCCCATGGGGCCCTGAGTGACTCTGTCCCCACCTCCCCCCATATTCACTCAATGAATTTCTCAAACATAAATGGCACCTGTGCTCACCCCCAGGCCCTGGCTCATCCCTGGGCCTGCGCTCACCCCCCACCCTGCGCCTGTGCTCACCCCTGGGCCTGTGCTCAGCCTCCACCGCTGGCGCTCACCTCCCTGCTCTTGCTCAGTGGTGCCTCCTGCTGGAGTGCTCTCCATCCCCTCTCCTTCACCCTCTGGAAGTTCTTCTTCCTCATATCCCCCGGCTCTCCCCAGGGCTGGGCAGAGTCCCTGGCCTGAGACCCTCCAGGGCCTGGATCCTGCCGGGTTCACATGAAGTCCCCAGAGCTAGCCCGGGGCTCAGCAGAGACCCCAGAGTGTCTGTAAATAAATGAATGCCGCCCACCCTTTCTGACCCCACCGCAGCCAGACCCAGCGGTGACATGGGGCATTTGTGTCTGAATTCCCACTTCCGCCCGGATCCATCCTCAGAACCTCCTTTGGCCAGGACCAGATCCTGGAGACCCTGGAGAGGCTCCCTCATCCTCTCCTGCTCCCATCTTTGAGGAAACGATGTCATCGTTTTTTTTTGGCATTCACTTCCAAACCTGCTGATGAAAAGTCGAAGCTTAGTTTTTTCCCTATTTGCAGTGCTGTGCACCTGCCTCCTCTGTCAAATTTCAAAACTTTTGCATCACTGCCCTATAAAATCCTGTACCCGTTAACAGGCCCCATTCCTGCCTCACCCTGCCCTCCTGGTAGCCACCAGTCTCCTTTCTGCCTCAGTGGATGTGCCTGTTCTGGACATTTCATATACATGGAGTCATGCAGTACATGGCCTTTTGTGTCTGGCCTCTTTGGTTCAGCATAACATTTTCTGGTTACGCATGGTGTAGCGCTCAGTCGTCCTTCGTTCCTCTTCATGGCTGAGTAATACTCCATCGTACGGATGGACTGGAAGTTTTGCTGGGTCTGCCTTTTGGCTACTGTGAATTCTGTTGCCATGAACGTGCATACCATGTTTTGTTTGAGTCCCTGTTTCCAGTTCTTTTGGGTGGATGCCTGGGAATGGAATTGGTGGGTCATATGGTTATTCTATGTTTAAATTTTTGAGGAACCGCCAAACCGTTTCCCTAACATTTGTTTTTTTTCAAGTTGGCAGGAAACGTGGCTCAGGTCGGGAGGGGTTGAAAACTGGGTTTCCTAAGCTCGTGGTGAGTGAGGGTGGCACGAGGTTACTGGAGTCATTCCCTGTTCAGCCCCACTGGCATGTGAGGACGCTGGGCGGGGGTGCTGGTGGGGGAATCCCTTGGTAGGTGAGGGGCCGAGGTTCCAACCCCATGCTCCGGGGCGGGCACTATGTAAATCCCAGGTACTAGAAAGCCAGCCAGCCGCGGGGTGCTTTAGGAAGGTGTCACCCTGCCTGGTCTCTGGTGCCCGTGTGCACCGTGGTGTGTGTCAGGGGCCTGTCACCCCCAGGTAGCATCTCACTGGGCAAAGGGGGAAAGAAAAGCTGTAGTAAATGAGACCTCTCGGCCACCTTGTGCAACTCAAAATCCAATCGCAATTTAGAAGTGGCCCGTGGTGCCCTTGGAAGAGGGGCAGACCTCGGGAACAGCACCCTGCAGAAGTGATGGCCTCATCTCCTCCGGGAGACCGGGAGCTGTTTAACACCTAGAGAGAAGGGAATCGAGTTTACTTTGCTGCATGAGATGAGCAGGGTCTGCAGACTTTGAGCGGAGCTCTAGCAAAAAGAATTTTAGAACAGGGCTGGGTCTCGGTGGCCACAGCTGTCCTCTCTCGCAGGGCCAGACTCTTGTTTCCGGCTGCAGAAAGGATGTCTCATTGCTCTTGGGGCCGGGCAGGGCTAGCTGTGCCTTGCCTCCCCATCATAGCGTCACTGGTGACTGGGCTGCAGCTGTATCATTGACAGTCCTGGTGACAGTAGTACTGGGAGTTCTGGTTTGCTGAGCACTTACTGTGTGCTGGGCGCTGCTGAGTGCCTCCTCTCCGCCACCTGGCCTTTCCTGGGGTCCTCGCAGGAGAACTTAGGCAGTCGGAATATGCACAGACATCTTCAGTACTGCATTTGTGATTCTGATGCCTTCCTATTTATTCCACATAGTACTGGTTTCCATATATCCATGCTGATAATACGCTTCTCTTTAAATTATGCCTAACTAAATGAAAGTGACAGGCCTGGGGCTAGATGGCTGCGGCCTGGGTAATCTCTATACCAAAGTCCCTATGCAAAAGTGGCACATGAATATGTGATGTTTAGGGAACACTGCGTGTTTGGAGGTTCAGAGAGGGCAAGTGACTTACCCAAGGCCACGCAGCTTAGCGATGGTGGAGCGGGACGTGTTCCCATGTTCACGGGAATTGCGCCGTACATCTTGTCTCGGGGCTGGGAAAGCCCACGCAGGCAGGACTGAGGTGGTGGTAGATGTGTCAGTCTTGGCTCTGGAATTCCTTGGCTTTTCTGTGTTTGAAGGATGGACAGCAGCCAGTCGAAGGGTCGCCTCCTCTGCGACTCCTTCTTTCTCTGTGTGAGCCCAAACTCTTGGTGGCACGTGACAGAAACCCAGCTTGGGCTGCCAAAGACAAAACGCGCAGAAGGAGCACCCTGGCTCCCCTAAGGAAGTGAGCAGGCTTCGACCTGCCTCCGGCCACCATCGGACACAACCTGCCCTTTTGCCCTGCCTTCCTGCGGGTGGGTGTGGATCTCAGGCAGGCTCCTGCTGCATAGTGGCCCCCAGAGCTCCAGGCTTTCATTCCCAGCTTAGATCCCCGGCAGAGAGCAGCTTTCTCCTGATTCCAGCATCAAAAGTCTCAAGGCAGATTCTCATTGACTCCTATTGAGTCACAGGCTCATCCCTGAGCCAGTCGCTGGCCCAGGAGCGTGTAGGACTCTGATTGGCCACGACCGGGTCACATGACCATCCCTGGAGCCTGGGGAGGGAGGAAGGGTCAAGTCTACACTAATGAGAGAGGGGGTGGGGCCTGGGAGGCAGTCAGGGCCCCCGACCTTAACCTTCCTCCCATTGCCCCTCCACATGAGGCCTCCAGGGCATGCCTGCTTGGAGGACGGTCACCCTCTTCAGGTCGGGGGAGGGGGTGTTCTGATGAAATTGCAGGGCTGGGTATACTGTTTCCCCTCCTGACCCCTAACCTTGTATAATGCAGCCTCAGTCCTCCGCCGTGGAGGCCCACATCCAGGCGCTGGGTCCCTGTGCCAGGGTGCATTTCCCTCAGCTCTGGGGCAGGGGGTGTGCAGTTGTGGGGGTGCTAGAGAGGGATTTGCATGAGGCAGGACCCAATGGACACACCTTTTCTGAGGGGCTGGTTCAGAGAGAGTGTGGAGGGGGCCTCGGTCTGGGATGGGACCCTGTTGTAAGCCCAGCAGGTGGCGTGGAGCTGTGGCTGGCAGAGGAAGGGGAGAAGCCTTGTTGGGGGCGGGGGGGCTTAGGGGTTTCCTAGCAAAGGCAGCTTCGGAGTAGGGGCCGCCGTGGGTCCCTGGCTGGGCCGTGTCTTCTCTGTGGGGCTGTTTTTCCATCTGTGAAGCTGCCAGCCTGCCTCGTGTTACTCCTCTGGCATGGCCATGAGCAGATCCTCTCCCATGGAAGGCGCCAGTATCTGCCCCAGGAGCCGTTTGGGGTACCTATCCCTAGGCTGCAGGACCTGACTGACTGTCATTCTGCCCTTGGCTCTTCCTGGCGTAGCCCTCTGTGTCCTAATCCCACCTCCCAGCTTGCGTCTGGCTAACCTCATATCAGTCTTGCCCCATGTCATGGTATCAGCCTCCTGCACAGGGTCACAGCCTTGCCCGGATCATGCTGTGGCCTGTGGCCCGCCCGAGCTGGCCCTGGCCCCTGCTGCCGGGTTCAGCGGTGTGTGCTGTCCCTGTTGGCTGCCCCTCCTGGGACAGGTGCTGTCTGGGAACTCTGCCCCGTGACTCAGAAACCTGGGGGGCCGTGGAGTGAGGTTGGGTGGGCTGAGGGGGGCTGGGAGCCATCTGAGTGGTGGTGAGGGCCTGGGTGGGGAGGAGGCCTCTGGTCCCTTGCGTGGCTTGCATGGCTCGGAGGGACCTTGAACGCCACGCCTGTCTTCTGGTGCTGCCGGAGAGCAGGTGAGTGTGGCAGTGGATGAAGGAGGATCCAGGCAGGCCCTTGGGTGCCTGCATGTCCTCATGGGACCACAGGAACGACTTGGGAACGCACGTGCGGAGGAGCCGCCTGCCCCGTGGCTGATCGTGTTTTTCCTTTCTTGTTTTCTCACAGGTGCCAGTGACGGGGTGGCCCGTGAGCTGATGACGAGGACTGGCTTTTAATCCTTGGTGGCGATTAAGAGAAAGCTTATCGGGGCCTGGGAGCCACCCCGACCCCCACCACCATGTCGGGATCCACACAGCCTGTGGCACAGACGTGGAGGGCCACTGAACCCCGCTACCCGCCCCACAGCCTTTCCTACCCAGTGCAGATCGCCCGGACGCACACGGTAAGGGGGTGCACGTATGTGTGCCTGGGGCTACCTTTGAGACCCTTTTTCCATTCCACTGAGTCTTCACCCCTTCCTTTCTCCTGGGAGCCAGGCTCGCATGGCTCTGAGCCTCCCAGGGCAGAGGGGAGGCCTCCACAGAGACTCCTGGTGTCTGAAGCCTTTTCTAGAACATCTGGTAAAATCTCTTTGCTCCCATTTTAAAGCTGGGAAGATGGAGGCTGGGGCCAGGCTGAGCTGGGGCTCTGCCCTCTCTTGACTGGCAGTGGGATTGGCACGTGAATGTGGAGCTCCTGCTGTGTTCACTGTCCTGCAGCCCAGCCTCACCTCTGCTCCCCTGCTGCCGCAGGATTGGGTAGGATTGGGTAGGATTGGGGTGACTTCTGGGGGGGCAAGGGGGCCTAATAGGTCACAGCTCCCCTTCCTTGCTGTCCTCCCGTCCCGTGTGTATTCGCCTTGGTGAGGCTCGAGGCTCTGAGATGAGGAGGCCCCGCACAGGTTGCGTTTCTGCCTCCCTGACACGAGGGTCCAGGGTGCTGGCTGTGTCTTTGGGGAGCCCGCCCCGTGGCCGGGGCAGATGGCCTGTCCTGGAAGCAGGTGGGCCTCGGTGCCTGCCCACGTGTGTGCCCTGGTCGGGTCTTCTAAGCTGCACCCCACCCCGCCTCACCTCCCAGCGGGGGCCCCATTTCCTGCCTCTTCTCTCACTGCATGGTGTGGCTAGGACAATGGGCCTTGGTTGGCATTTACGAGGTACCTGCTATATACCATGTCTCTGGGTGTTTGCCAAGCGGCTTTCAGAGTTGTGGACCTCCCCCTTGTGACCTCCTGGCTGCTGAGTGATGGATGTGAGGCCTGGAGGTCACAGCTGGAATGGAAGCTGACTCTGCCGGCCACCGTGGGGGTACATGTGTGCGTGTGTGTGCATGTGTCTGTCCTGCCTGTCTGGTGTGGTCCCCTCTTGTGAGAACCAGAAAGGAAGCTGTGTGGGAGGACTTTTCCATCAGTAAGCGAGAAGGTTTTGCATATGAGCTCACTGGCCCTGCCTGGGGGAGTCCCTGACACAGTGGCCTCCTGTAGGTTTGGGCCCCTGGGACGCTTTGCAGAGCCAGCTGTCGTCAGTGGGTGCATTGTGGATCCCTCTTAGGACGGCATTTCCCTGTGTAGAGTCATTGCATTCTCCCCAGCGGCCCCGTGAAAGAGCAGCTCGCGCTGTCATCCCACTTTGCAGATGAGGAGACCGAGGCCCAAGAGGTTCAATCACAGGCCTCAGGTGCGATTGCAATTGCCCTAAGTGGGGAGGCTGCCACAGCATCGGGGCGCCAAGCCTCTGTGTCCCCCCACTCCCCCATGCCTTTATTTATTGAGCACCTACTGTGTGCCCAGGGCTAAGGAATAGACTCCCGGTAGGAAACGATTTCATATTTTGTCATCATGGTCTTTATCTGTCACCACCACCAACAAAAAGAAGAGCTCTTGTTAGCTGAGCACCTACTACAGGTCAAATGTTCAAAGCCCCGAGTGTATATGGTTGTGTGCCTTCCCCCGATCACCCCAGAGTGGTACGACTATCATGCTCTGTGTTTTGTCAATGGGAAAACATTTCACAGGGTAGGAAACCGGACGAGTTGCGTAACCTTTCTGAACCTCAGTTTTGTCACCCATAAAGCGGGGGTACTCAGAGTACCCGTCTCCTAGATTCTCATGAGGGGTAAAGGGGATATGTTGAATGTTCTTAAGATGGCGCCTGGCTCAGGGCCAGCCCGCTCTGTCCGTTTGCCGCTGCCATTCCTTGGTCTTGTTGCTGTTCCTGCTGCTGCCCAGAGGGGAACCTGCCTGCCCCGAGGGGAGGGGCACTGGCAGGGCCACTGGCTTCTGGTTTCTTGTCCTGTCCTGTGGAGGTTCCCACTCAGCCCCCACCCCGCTCCTAGCCTTGGGGAGTCCTCAGGCTGCTGTAGCCTCTGCCCTCCCACTTCTCCTGCCCTTTGCCCCAAGAGGGCCCTCGGGGTCACTGGCTGAGCCTAGACACCTCCCATTCTTCTCCTGCTGGGCTGTCAGTGACGCAGGGTATGGGTGAACAGGGCCAAGCGCTCACCACCCGCTCCAGGCAAGAGGCCAGGGAGTGAGCGGGGCCCAGCCTGGCAGCCACAGGTGAGAACATTCCTGTGCTTGTGTGGGGGCAGCAGGGTGCACCTGTGTGTGCTCCTCCCTGGGGGAGCCGCCCCTCATCGGACCCTCCTGCCTCATGGTAGGGCTGCCCATCCAGGGAACCCTGCTTGTCTCTTGAAGGGCAGGAGGAAGGGTTCTGGGCACTCTCAGAAGGGCCCTGCTACCCTGGGCATATTGCAGCGTGGAGCCACTTTCTTGCTGCGGGTTGGAGGTGAGCTAGGGGCTGTGATCTGGAGGCTCCCCCCTGGCAGCCCCTCAGCCCCCAAACCCTTCCTGTCCTTTTAACGGGCGAGACCCACTTCAAAAGATACCACCCTCTTCCCGGGCTCCTCATCAAGCCACAGAAAGACAGACCCCCGGGGAAGGGGACGGTCAGTGGCGGGAACCTGGCTGTCCTGGTTCCTTGTATAGTAGCTGAGGCCATTGTGCTGGGATCCACGAGATGCCTCAGTGACCCTCCCAGATTCAGGTCACCCCCACACATACTCCCGACAGGCCTGCCTCCTGGGACAGCCCCTCCTGTCCGGAGCATCCTCTTCCTGGCGCTTTGGGCACGGGGCTGCTTTGATGGCAGGTCTTCCCTGGAGCCTGTGAGACCTCAGTGTGGCTTCGAATCCCTCTCCGTGTCCAGCTTGCTGAGTGGCATTGGCCCGCTCACAGCCATGTGGAACGGCCTCAGTTTCCCCACCTGCAGTACCGGTGTCCTGGTGGGTCTGCGCATCGGTGGCAGTGCCTGTGTGCAGCAAGCGCGGGTTAGTCATCTCTTTCCTCCTGGAAGGGTGGCAGGAGACCCAAGCAGGGCCTCTTCCCCCTGGGGAACCACAGGACCCCGGATGCCGAGCCGGCGGTGGAATGGTGCGGGCCGTGTAAGCCGCTGCCTCTGCCCGTGCTCTGCCCTGGCGTCATCTGCGGGCTGCTGGTGAGTGATTCCCAGCGCAAATGGGAGGCTTCACTTAGAGGGGGCTTGCAGACAGAGGCCTGGACCCTGAGACCATGGAAAGCCCCCAGGTTCCCTGACTCAGCCTCAGCCATGCTCCAGGCTTCTATATGCATCATCCCTGCCCTCCCGCTTCCCACCTGCCGCATCCCTCCGTGCCCCGTCCTCTCCATCCTCAGGGCTCCAGCTTCTCAGCTTCTCTCCGTGACAGTTAGCAGGACCCTATGTCTCTCCCTGAGGGTCCTCGGGAAGCTAGGGTCTCCAGGGTTGAGGGTCCAGTAACAAAACGCTCACAGCTTTTGTTTTCCCGGAGATCAACGCATCCTCCTCTCCTGGCCTCCTTTCAGGCTTTCTGTGGCCCAATTCCACTCTACCTTCTTCAGGTCCTCTGGGACCCTGAACGCTCCTGAGCTCCTCCAGACCTTGGGCTAAACGAATGCAGTTAAAAGCAGGGACACAGAGTCTGAATGCCACCGTGACCCTTTTCTGCTGTGTGGCCTTGGGCAAGTTACTTAACCTCTCTATGCCGCAGTATTGAAGACTGGTTCATAGCACCGGTTCTGGAGCCACGTCCTGCCCTAGTGATGTCCTAGCTGTGAAACCGGGGGCAAGTGGCCTTACCGTCCCGTGCCTCAGTTTCCCCATCAGTTGAGCAAGGATGGTTTTAAGATTGTGAAAATCCAGTTAGTTGATAGGTACAGAGCCCTTCGCACAGGGTCTAGACAGAGTAAGCAGACATTTGATATAATCAGTAATGTAATGATGACGATGCTATTCTTACAACATCGCCTTTAGTAGCCTTTTCTGTCTTGCCCCAAGGGTACACTCTGGGCTTTGCCCCTAGGGCAGGGGTGAGCACACCTTCTCTGTAAATATTTCAGGCTTTGCAGGCCATGCAGCTGCCCTTCTCGGCCAGTACGGTGTGAAAGCAGCTCAGCCAGGGCGTAAGGGAGTGGGCGTGGCCTGCGCCTGTGACACTGGACACCGCTGGCCAGGTCTGCCTTGGCCTTACGCCCTAGTGTGCTGACTCTTGGCCTAGATTAGCGCTTATCAGACTCCTATAGGAAGGACTGGTCTGTTTCGTTTCCAGTTTGTCACAAATCGATACGGGGTCCCATTGCACAGATGCAGGCCCGGTCCGGCAGGGTCAGAGTTGGTTGTGCCCTCGGATGCCAGGGTTGCGCCGACCCCAGGGTCTGCATGCTGTCATGTTCTGTGCCCACCTTGTTGCGGTCGGCAATGTTGCAGACCTTTGGTGGAGTAGTACTGCCCTGGGCCAAGGCTCCCAGACCCTGGAGACTGCCTGGGCCAGGCTGGGACAGGTGGGCACGTGGGGGTCACTGGGAGAGGCTAGACTGCGGAAAGCTTTGCAGTGTCCTGAGTGCCCTGGGGGGGTCCTCCATTAGCTTCATGGCCCCTCTTGCAGCTCAGTTCCTGCTGCTTGGTGATGACTTTTAAGAGGCTGTGGAGGGATGATTTGGCCCTCAAAAGAGAGGTTGGTGGGAGCTCCCATGCTGGGGGAGATTCATGCATTCATTCATTCATTCATTCATTCATTCATTCATTAGTTCATTCATTCATTGAGAGCTCCCATGCTGGGAGATCCATCCATCCATCCATCCATCCATCCATCCATCCAGCAAATACTTATCGGGTGTCTTGGGCCCATCCTCTTCCAAGCCCTTGCAGTGCAGCTGTGAACAGAACAGGTAAGCATCCCTGTCTCAGGGAGCTGACCTCCTCGTGGAGAATGGCAAGTTGGGAAGGAGACGAGGGGAAGGGCTGAGGTTGGGGGAGCCCACATTTAAGTAGAGGGTTGGGGAAGAGCCTCACTGAGAAGCTGCTTTTGGAGCTGAACCTGGAGGATGGGAGAGGGCCAGGCATGTGGGAATCTGGCTGAGGAATGTTCCGGGTAGCAGGAACAGCATGTGCAAAGGTCCTGAGTTGGGAGCTCTCTTGACTGCAGCCGCCATCATTCCGGGAGAGACCCATGAATGCAGCCAGGGTCTAGGAATGGGCTGAGTTCTTCCTTTGCTTTCCCATGAACTCAGGGTCTAGGAACGGGCTGAGTTCTTCCTTTGCTTTCAGTGTGCAGTCCCAGGCATTCCCTTGACATCTTCTGGAGTAAGGAGCCCTATCCAGGAGCCAGAGAGGGGCACTCCTTTCCCGCAAAGGAACTTTTCCCAGCCCATGCTCAAACATTTCCCGCGAATCTAGCCCCTTTCTCCTCTTTGTCCCCAGCCACTCCTCCCCACCCTTGGGACCCAGCCAAGAAGGCACCAGCTGGGATTCCCTCCTGGGTGAACAGCTCTTTCTGGTGGCCTCTCACCTTCCCCAGGAGTTTTAAGGGTGTAATTTATTGGGGGCCCTGATTTCCAGCTTCAGAGGTGCCATGGTCAGGGAGAAGCCCTCCGAGGCCAGGGGGCATCACCTGAACGGATTTTCCTGTCTCCCTTTCTGAGCAGCTGGGTCAGTCTCCCTCTCTCCAAGTCAGATTTGCTGCTGTCCTACCGGGACAGGTTAAGAGCCTGGGGACCGTTCCCTCTTGTCCCTCCTCAGAAAGCCAGCTCAGCCTTTGCCTTGCATCTCAGAACGTACCCCCTTCTTGCTGTGTGGCGTGGACAAGCCACTTACCCTCTCTGTGCCTCTGTATTCTTATCTTTGTGTGGGGCTTCTTGTAATATCCACCTCACAGGGCTGCTGTAGGGATGAAATTAATATATTTCAAGCATTTAGCTGCAGGTGCACACAGGCAATTTATTACTGTGGGGTATTATTGTTGTTTTTATGATTAATGTTGTCACGCAGGGAGCTCTCCTGCTCGGAGACATGGCGAGGTGGTTTCCAGCCTGGGTGTATTCCAGCTCATGGGACCCCTGGGGCCCCACCTCGGGTCAGTTTCTCTGGTGGGGCCTCCCCGATTCTTGCCTTCCCCTAGAACCTCCAGGCACTCTTGTCGGGGGAGTCCCTGGGCTCAACCCTGGTGACCTGCTTCAAGCCTCATGGTGGGGGCCAGTGTGGACTGAGTGTCTCCCAGGGTTTAGGGTCCAGTAACAAAATGCCCACAGATCTCGGGCAGAAACGGCCCCCAAGATGCTCCTGGGAGGATCTACTAAATTGGGAAACTAAGGCCAAAGGGTTCATGCAGAGGCCTCCCCAGCCCCCGCTTTGGGCCTCCTCCACCATGGTTGGCTGCTGTGAGCACTATCTGGCCGAGGCCCTCTTCCGAGGGACTGGACCATCTGCCCTGCCTCTCTGCCCACTTGGCCTTGGTGCGGGAGAGCTGGGCGGAGAGGATCCTCCTGGCAGACTGCGAGGCCTGCTGCTTTCTTCTCACACCTCTGTGTGTGGCAAGGTCTTGGCTTGGCAGCTGCGTCATCGTCAGCCCAGTGGCCTCCTCCACTCCCTCCCTCCAGCCCCGTCTTCTCCCTTCTCCTCCCACTGAGAGCACCCGGAGTCTTGTGCTAGACACTGCGGGATGCAGGAGGAGGCTCGTGCCTTTTCTGCCTTCTGGAGGCTGCTCTCAGCCTTGGGGGAGTCCCTCAGAGAGGTGAAGAAGAGTGTAGGAGGTGCCGGCCTCCTTTAATCTGGGCTGGGCACCCATTTCAAAGAGGAGAAACTGAGGCCCAGAGGGTTCGAATAACAGGGCCGAAGACATACCTTCTGTTGGAGGCCTTGCAGCTTTTGGTGTCTGCGTTGGACTGTCCAGGGAGGTCCTTTCCCCAACTTTTCCAGCTTCTGAGGCTGCCAGGGTCCCCATGGATTCCACTTGCTCATCCTTCCTGGCCTCTGGGCTCCTGGGCTCTTACGTGCTGATTTTGTTGGGTCTGCAACAGATACGTTATCAACACATCTACCTGGCATTGTGTCTGATTCTCTTTGCAAAAATAACTGCCTTGTTGAAAAAGCCAGACAACAAAAGAATGACTAGATTTTTATGGAAAATCGGGAAAATTAAAGAAAGGTGCCAAGAAGAAATGAAGTCACCTGCAATCCCACTCTCTGAAGCCTCACCTGTGTCAGACATCACTAACTGATTACCGCAAACAGCATAACTGAGTGTTCCAGGCAGGCAGAACTAATCTATTGGGATTGGTGCATAAGTGAAGCCTGCCTTGTTTAGTTTGAGAGACTTGTTACTGTCTTTTTTTTTTTAAACACAGTTTAATGTTTCTCAAATCTGGGTGTACTTGGCAATCGGTATACATTTAATTTGTTGATATTGAGTTTTCTCCCCTATGATAATGGATAATGTGTTAAAGAAAAAAGTATTTGGACACTTGTTAAGCAGGAAGACTATACAGGACAATTGTGCTGTCAGTGTCCAGACTGTCACAATAAGGGAGAGAGACCGGGCTCAGCTCCAAGTACGGCCAAGACAGCTGGGGCCTCATAGCCTAGCCGCAGGGCGGAGGGAGGGGTCAGTGGATGGAAAATTACTAAGAGGAGCGCTTGAGGGTGGGGGGTTCCTCTAGACTGACTTACCAGGATTCCTGCAGCTGGGCAGAGCCCCGCAAGGCCAAGGCCAAGGTCGAGGCCCTGTGGAGAGAGGATGGGTTAGAGGAGCTTGACTCTGGTGTGGGCAAGGAGAGTCTTTGTCAAATGGACGGCGGTGTGTTATTAAAGGAGGAGGGTTTGCCTGAGGCTTACCCTTCTGGCTGTGATACGAGCCTTACCTGCGGGAGTTTCTCTTTTACAGGGCAGGCTTCGGGTCAGGGGGCGCTTCGTTCTGAAACCTGGTCTTTGGGCCTCGCTGGCCATCGGCTGTTTGTCGCCGTCACTCGCCACCATCCATCCTTCTCTGGCGAGTGAGGCCCGAGCCTCGTTCCCTCACGTGGGCATCACTTACCCACCCTGCCAAGAGCTGGGCATCTAGGTTGGGCCTTTTCCCAGTTGTTGCTGCAAATGAGTTTCTGTTTTTACAAATAATGCTGCCCCATATGCACCTTCAGTCCTGTCTTCCCAGGCCTGCATTTCCAAGCTGCAGCTCCTCAGGCCAGAGGGACCCATTGCCTGGCAGGGGTAGGATGGGGTGGGAGGGTAGAAAAGTGAAGACAGCTTCCTCTACTCTCTCCTCCTGCAATCAGCGCCAACATGGCTGGCAGACAGACACCGTGGTCAGGATGGTTCCAGGCCTGTACTAGCCTGTGGCCTCAGACAGCCCCATCAGCCCTCCTAGACTTGACGGTCTCACCTGGAAGGTGGGCGTGATCGTGAGACTGTGGGAGGCTGCGTGGGAAGGACGCAGCCCAGGGCCGTTCAACCATCTGTGTTCCTTCTACTCCTTGGCGTTCGGCCCCAGGGGTAGCCTCTGGCCAGACGGTCCCTGAAGTTCCCTGCAGGACTTGGGCTTATCTGCCTAGGGCAGGAGCGAGCCTAAGCAGGGAGTCCACGGCCTTGCCTGCTGTGCCCCACCATGCCCGTGCCCGCCTGCGCTCACTGCTCCTCTGTCCCCTCATGCAGGACGTCGGGCTCCTGGAGTACCAGCACCACTCCCGCGACTATGCCTCCCACCTGTCGCCTGGCTCCATCATCCAGCCGCAGCGGCGGAGGCCCTCCCTGCTGTCCGAGTTCCAGCCCGGGAATGAACGGTGAGGAGAGTTGCTGCCTCCTTGTCCCTTCTCTGGAGCCCCTTCTCAGATGGAGAAGCAGAGGCCCGTGGTGGAGCAGGAGCACCCAGGGTCCTGTGAAATGAGGGGGTGTCGGGCCGTGTGTTCACCCTTGACCAGGTGTGGCCGTGACTCGGGGTGAGGATGAGGACGAGCAGGGAAGAGCCACATGGCCCTCAGACTTCCAGCATGGAACTTCAGTGGGCTCTGTGGGTTTGGGCAGCAGTGGGGACCTCCAAGCTGGGCTGCAGCCGGGCTGGGCTGCTGTGGGAAGATTCGAGTCCACACCTGGTGCCCCTGGGGCCCCTGCCCTCCCCTCCCATTCCTCCTTCTTCTCCAGCTGGCAGAGGACGCCCCCTGGTGTGTGCCTGTGCCGGGCCAGCCTTACTTTCCTTGATCCAGGTGGGAGGGGAATGAACAGGTGAGGTGGGGGCGTGGGAGGGAGGTGGGGCGGGGAGCTGGGGGGACTACAGCAAGGGGAGGGCCAGGACTGGGCCGGAGCCAGCTCTCCATACATTTATTTGGGATCGTTAGGCCATGTTCTTTCTCCCACCATCTCCAGGAGCTTCTGCTAGAGACGGCGGAAGTGTGGGGAATTGTGCCTGTTTCTCAGATGGAGAAGCTGAGGCTGCGAGGTTGAGGATGGGCCCTTGTTTACTCAGCCAGGACTAGAAGTCGAGGCACCAGGCCCCCGCCCTTCATGGTACCATGGAGGTGTCCCAGGGCCCCAGAGCAGGCGGGGCTGGTGAACTCAAGTGGGCGCAGGTGTGTGGAGGAGGAGGGGAGGCGGAGGCAGTGTGCCTTCTGTGTCTGGATTGGTTTCCTGGGGCTGCCATCACAGCGTGCCACAAACTGGGTAGCTTCAAGCCACATAAGTGCATACCCGTGATCTGAAGTCAGGGCGTCCGCAGGGCCGCGCCCCCTCGGAAGCCTTGAGGGGAGGACGCTTTTCTGTCTCCTCCAGCTTCTGGGGGCTACAGGCATTCCTCGTCTGTGGCTGCGTCACTCCAATCTCTGCCTCTGCCTCTGCCTCTGCCTCACGTGGCCATTTCCTTGTCTGTCTCTGTGTTCTCTTGTCGTGTTACAAGGACCCCAGTCATCCTAATTCAGGATGGCCTCCTGTTAGCTTAATTCCATCTGCAATGACTCTAGGTCCAAAGAAGGTCTTATTTTGAGGTTCCAGTGGCCATGGATTTTGGGAGGACATTATTCGAGCCACTGCAGTGCTGCTGTCACGTTTAAATGAAAACACCATGTGCTTCCTGCCAAGCACCGTGTAATGGTGAAGCCCTAGGTTCTGGGCCTTGAAGAGGGGGATGTCTTGGGGCCCAGCTTTGGAGGGACAAGGACTTAAGGGAGGTGAGCCTAGAGGGGTGGTTACCTCGCCCCACTGGGTGGGGCCAGCAACATGGCCCCAGCCTATGCTGCAGTGGGCAGAGTTTAGTCAATCTACAGCACTGATTGAGTGCCTACTGTGCGCCAGTACCTGGGGACAGCCATGAACAAGACCACCCTGCGTTCATTCTAGGGTGAGGGAGGTGGCCAGAAAACACCTGTGGCCACCGAGCATGTGGGGAGGGCAGTGGAGAGAGAGTGGACAGGCGGGTGTGGTGTGGTCTGGCCCGGGCCAGGAGGCGCCATCTGCACCAAGATGTGAAGGGGAGGGGAGCTCACGTGAAGGGCCTGAGGTCTCAATGCTCCAGGCAGAGTCCAGCAGGTGCAAAGGCCCTGGGGCAGGAGTGAAGTCGGAGGACAGCGAGGGCCAGGCCAGACAGGGCTTGTGCAGGAGGGGAACGGCTGTGGATTCCCTGCTCAGCCTCTGGGAAAAGCATTTCAGCAAGGGCCACATTCAGCCCGTTTCTGGTGGGTGATGGCTGGAGCCTGAGAGGTGGAGGCCAGGAGTCCCAGCTCTGTGGGGTGTGCTTAATTAGGCAAGGCCATGCCCTCTCTAGGCACACTGTGGAGGAGCATTCAGGAGAGCCCGTCGCTGGGGATGCTGGGCGGCTCCGGTCTGCACCGGGCTGCTGGGCTGAGTTGAGAAGGTGGTTAGGCCAGGTTCAGCAGCAAGAGTTCTGCGATTGGCCAGCGATGTCTGCCCTGCGTGGGTGAGAGGGAAATGGCATCACGGGTGCTGTTATCTGCGTTAGGCTCACAGTGTTTCCTGAATGAACTGTGTCTGTGAACCACCCGGCAATCTTGTTAAAATGCGGAGTCTGACTTGGTAGGCCTCAGGTAGTACTGGAGATTCTGCATTTGTAACCAGCCCCAGGTGGGGACGGTGAGCTGGTCCACGGACCGCCCCGAGTGGCAAGGGGGGGCAGTCACTCTGGGGCGTTCCAGTGCCACTGTAGCGCACTCCCTCCCTGTAAACGTCTTTGGTGAATGTGGACCTGAAGGAAGGCAGTGCTGCATTGGAGTCCTGCCCCGCGGTGGGACCGTGGGAGGTGGGCTCCTGTGAGCACCTTTCTCGCAGGATCATACAGGGCATGGCACGCAGTAGGTGCGTGGCGCAGAGGGCAGTCGGGGCCTCGGGAGTTCTCAGCCGCAATCTCCTGTGTGACGCCGATGCTTTAACTCCCGCAGGTCCCAGGAGCTCCACCTGCGGCCAGAGTCCCATTCGTACCTGCCCGAGCTGGGGAAGTCAGAGATGGAGTTCATTGAAAGCAAGCGCCCTCGGCTAGAGCTGCTGCCCGACCCCCTGCTGCGACCGTCACCCCTGCTGGCCGCTGGCCAGCCTGCGGGATCTGAAGACCTCACCAAGGTAAACCTGGGCCCCCAGCTGGGCACTTGTCTGCCCCTTGAGGTTCTGCTGCTGGTTGGGTTGGGTGGGAGGTGGCGGGTAGGTGTGCAGGGAGGGGGCAGCTCGGGCAAAGGCTTGGAGGTGGGCCAAGCACCGAGTGCACGGAGCTGGGCGGCAGGAGGAGGGCAGGCGCTGGGTCTCTCTGGAGGTGCCAAAGTGTGGGAAGCAGTGGGGGAGGTGTTCCAGGTGGGCGGAGCAGCAAGTGCAAAAGCTCTGGGGCAGGACCAGGCTTGTGGTCATGGGGCAGCTGGCATGAGGGAGGGGAAAGCTGGGAGGGGAGGGCCTGGGGTGCCGTGGAGCAGAGAGCTGCCATCTGGTGGGGGTGAGGACGGTCCTGTGGTCGGTGGTCAGCTTTCAGCACATTCTGAGAGCTTCCTCGAGGGCGGGTTGTTTGGTTCTGTGAGTGCTTGGAACAGAGGGCTTAGTGACCCCTGTCTTGAGCCCTGCACAGCAGGCAGCCCCGTGGGCCCCGAACCCAGGCCTGTGAGGCGGACAGCTCGGGGCTCTGCCAGGCGCCTGGGGCTCCTGGATTCTTAAGGGGCAGGGAGGTGAGACTCCAGAGTCCCCCGAAGTGACCTGGGACAGAGTTGGCTCAGCACTAAAGGGGCGGAGCTTGGTTAGGACATGGCCTGGACACCTAGAGCGACAAAGGCTCCTTCCACTGCCCGGTCCAGCCACTCCTTGGGGCACCATGTGGCACCGGGCTGGCTTGGGTTGAGTCTGCAGCCACCCAGGCCTGAGGGACGGTGGATGCAGTTTGGGCAGGAGGAGCTAGACAACTTTAGGCTCATCTGCATCTCCATGGGGAGGCAGCCTGGCATTGCAGGTGGCCCCAGGCCTCACCTGGGCGCTCACCTATCCCAGGGCCCTCTGTCCATCTGCTCTCAGGTGACCCAGGTGTGATTTCCACCACCCCCACCTCCACAGCTGTGTAAACTTTGCACCTCTCTGAGCCCCATTTCTTCCTCACTGATCTGGGACCTTGTGTGCAGGGTGTCACCTGGTCATCTGGGTAGAGGGCTCGGCTATGGGCCCCATGCGTGGGGACTACTTGGCACCCATGAGCCGGCATGGGTGGTAGTCTGACTGCAGGGCCAGGCCACTTGGGCCAGACTCGGCCTTCTCTTGGGGAGAGGGGATACCCGCGTGGACCCTGGGATATCCCTGGGGTGGGCTTGGGCTGGTAGGTGGTTGGGGGGGCCATCCTGGGTCTGGGATGGCAGGGCTTCCCCTCCTGCTCTGAGTGGCTGTGGCTGCGACACCTGCACACCTGCCAGGTACCCACAGGGCTTCCTCTGGGGCCAGGGGAGGGAGGAGCTGGGGTGTCTGTGTGGTTTTTGGTTGGCTTGGCCTCCCTGTCACTGGGGCAACCCCTGCCTCACCAAGTTGTCGTGGGAAAGTGAAGGAAGGAAAATGAACTCCTAGCCAACAGACCACATGCGCCTGAGAGCCCGCTCAGGAATCTCCCCCGGTGGATGCAGCTGTGTCCTTGTTGGCACTCAGGGACTCCACCCTGGCCACCTCCCTGCTCTCCTGCGTACTTCCAGTCCATTCTATGCTCTAAAATATCCCAATTCCAGCCTTCTGCCCATGCCTGAGACCACCCCCAGCCTGAGCTCACCGTTGCTCTCTGGGAACTTTGCAGTAGCGTCCTGCTGGGTGTCCCTGCTCCTGCTTCCCTCTACCTCCTTCAGTTTATCCTCCAAGCAGCAGCCAGAGGGCTCTTGTAAAGGCAGACGCCTGCGTCCCCCTGTGTGTCCCTCCTGTGCTCCAAACCATCCGTGGCTCCTGTCTCAAGCAGGAAAAAGCCAAAATCCTTGCCATGGGCTGCAGATCCAGCATGATCCAGCACCATCACCTCCCAGACCTCATCTCCCTGCACCAGTCCTCTCAACCACTCACGTACAGCCTCCCAAGCCACCCTGGAATTCCTCTAACACGACAGGCACGTTCCCACCTGGGGACCTTTGCACGGGCTGTGCCCTCGGCAGGAGCGCCGTCCCCCAGGCACATTCCTCTTTCCTTGTTCCTTCCAGTCCTGGCTGCCCTCCAGGGCCTGCATGGCAGGGGAGACCTGTGGCCAGTCCTGTGGGGACTCCTGAGGCCGCTCATGGCAGAGGCTGCAGCCCCACCACATCCTCCCGGGGTGTGAGATTCAGCCACGGGGTCCCTGCCGACCTTGAAGGGGATCTCTGTGGCCTGGGGCTCGGGACCCCTGCACTTGGGTCTGGGCTTGGGACTGGTGTGGATGCCAGTTCCTCTCTCTCGGGTACTACCCCATTGGGGACCCCAGCCAGCATCCCTGCCCCGAGGCCCAACCCTTCCAGCACATCCTTCCTGCCCCTCCTCCCCTTCCTTCTCTCCTTCTACACCTCCCTCCCTCCTTCTTCCTCCCTCCCTTTCTTTCCACCCAAACAGCCCCCCATCCTGCTCACTCCGCTTCACCCCCTGCTTCCTGGGCTCCTGCCATCTCTCCCTGCTCATCCCCTGGGGCTCCCTCCCTACCACAGAGCACTCCCAGCCGCCACCCAGTGCCACCCAGCCTGTCTGCCTGTGGCCATCTGTCCTTGCCTTCATTACCTGTCCCTCCCCCTCACCTCCCAGCCACCCCTCACCCATCAGTTCTGCCTGCCATCGTCTCCCACCAGTGGCCTTGCCCCTCCGCCATCCACTCACCCCTCCCCCCACCATCCCCTTGCTTCCCCACCCCCTACCCCCATCTGCTCCCCCTGCTTCTCCCACTCGCCTGGAGTCCAGGGCGCTGTGAGCCTAGTCAGCCCTGGCAGGAACTCACAACTCAGCCGGACAAGGGTGCCTCAGGGTTCTTGGCCTGTGGCCATTTCTTGGCTGGAGAGCGACACCTCCCACATGTGTGTCCAGCCTGAGGCCTGCCACGCCTCCAGTGCCCTAGACAGCCCTTTGTTTTCACTCCTCTTTGAAACAGAAAGTGGAACCTAGACGGTGGCGGTGGTGAGGATGTGCACAGATTAAGCACCTGTGGTTTGCTGCTGTGGGAGTTTGCTGTGGTTTCAGTAAAGCTCAGGACGTACCAGGCTGGAGGCTTGTTCTCTCTCCAGCTTCCACAGGGGATGCCGACGGCAGGGCTGGTGGGGGAATCGCAGGCAGTGTCCCCGGAGGCTTCTGTCCCCCAGGGTCACTCAGCCGCCCAGCTGTGTCTGACTGCCCAGGCCGGGGTGGGGACTGTGGCCAGGTGGCGTCCTCATCCTGGTTGCAGCCTAGTGCCCAGCCTGCACAGGCCCCTCCCTGCACAGCCCTGGGGCACCGTAAGCTCCTTAGCAGCCTCAGGGCAAAGGCGACCCTCTTCCTGCAGCAGGAGTAGGGGTGGGCGGTGGGGACGGGGAGCCAGCCCCGGGGAGGGAAGTGGCCACTCAGCCCTGCAGGGTCCCCTTCTCTGCCTGATGCGGCCGGATGGGATTGAATGGTGGACTCATAGGGTGAGGCACCTCCTTTATCAGAAGGTTGGCGCGCAGGAGGCATTCACACGGTGGTAAGAATGCTGACAGTGACGGCGGGTGCCATTAAGTGAGCGCCGACTGCCTGCCAGGTGCCAAGCCATGCCCAGCCAGTGTCATATCCTGCTGTCTTCCCAGCCCGAGGAGGCTGGGTCTATGACCTCCCTTTTGTAGACGGCCCCAGGCTGAGCGAGCTGGACGCAGGGGAACGGGATTCAGGCCCAGGCAGCTGGGAATGCACCCCACGCCTGCCTCCAGGTTGTCCCGCTGCTCTGGGTCCCCTCTGGTCTCCCTGGTGGGGTGCCCTCCTCCCTCTACCTGGCACCCCCATTAGCACTGGAATCTGCTTTCCCCTCTTTTTGTTGTTGTTGTTGTTGCTACAGGAGGCAGGAGAGAATTGTAGCTCGGCTGCCTGGGAGAGATGTTTCCATTTGAACAACTCCCCTGAAGTCGAGCCTGGATGGATAGCAGGCGAGGGTGTGTGTGTGTGTGCGCATGTGTGTGTGCACGTGTACGTGTGTGTGTGCGGGTGTTTGTGTGTGTGTGCATGTGTGTGTGCAACCTGTGTGCCTGGGTATGTACATGTGCGTGTGTTTGCATGCGTGTGTGTGTGTGTGCGTGCATGTGCGTGTGTGTGTGTGTGCACGTGTGTGTGGGTGCACGTGTTTGTGTGTGTTTGTGTGTGTGCATGTGTACGTGTGTGTGCACGCATGTGTGTGGGTGTTTGTGTGTGCGTGCGTGTGTGTGTGCACCTGTGTGCCTGTGTATGTGTGTGTGCATGTGTTTGCATGTGTGTATGTGTGCGTGTGTGTGTGTGTGCATGTGCGTGTGTGTGGGTGCGCGTTTGTATGTGCATGCGTGTGCACGCATGTGTGCGTGCGTTTGTGTGTGTGTGCGTGTGTGGGTGAGCGTGTGTGTTTGTGTGTGCATGTGTTTGTGTGTGCATGTTTGTGTGTGTGCGTGTGTGTGCGCCTGTGTATGCACGTATGTGTGTATGTGCACGTGTGTGTGCGTGCGTGTGTGTGCATGTGTGTGCGTGTGTACGTGTGTGTGCATGTGTTTGTGTGCAGGCAGCTCAGGGCCCAGCCTTGGAGGGCGACCAACCCCTGCATGGGCTGTTGTCCCCCAGGTGTGAGTTCTGTCTCTGCAGACAGCAGGCCCGAGGGGTGAGTCTGCTGCCTGCCCCCCTCTCCAGCACGCCCGTGCCCTCTGGCCTATGGGTTCCAGAGGGTCTCTCCGTCCCTTACCGTTGCTCTGTGGTTCTTTCTGCCTGCGTGGCTTTCCCTCTTCTTGTCAGGAATCCCTCTGCCTGCGGTGTGCCCCCTGGGATCTCTTAGTCTCTGTGTCTGTCGCTGTGTCTCTGCCTCTCCATCGCTTTCTCTTTGTGTCCCTCTATCTCTCTTTCTCTTTGTGTCTCTCTGTCACCATGTCTCTGTCTTTCTGTCTCTGTTTCTCTCTGCCTATATGTCCATTTTTGTTTCTCGAGCT